TCCTCGCCCTGCTGGTGTTGGTGTCGCCTTTCATTGTTTCCACGAGGAGGATGACGAGGCGGAAAGGGCGGAAAGGGGAGGGAGGAGAAACGGCGATGAGGAGCAGCAGGAGGAATGTTGCATGAAGCAACGCAGGGTCGTTTGCACGTGCGTTTGGCAATGTGTTGGGCCTCCTCGGGGCCTTGCCGTTGTCGCCACCTATGCGTTCTTTTCGAAATCCTGGGAAGAGCACCCAGGAGCCGTCTGGGGGCCAGTCTTGGCTTGGCCATCTCCCTCCGTCGATGTATGGGCGTCGAGGAGGAGGGTGAGGAGCAGAAGGAGGAGGACGAGGAGGAGGAGGAGAAGGAGGAGAAGGAGGAGGAGGAGGAGGAGGGAGGACGAGGAGGACGAGGAGGACGACTCGGACGAGGAGGCGGGCGAGGAGGAGGAGGACAGGGAGGACGGGGTGGAGAACATGGAGGAGGGAGAGGATGAGGCGGAAGATGAGGAGGATGAGGAGGAGGAAGGGTAAGGAGGAGGATCCCTGGGGGATCTGCAGGGCAGTGCTGGAAGAAGACTGACACGGCGACCCTTTGATTCGGACCCCCGGCGCGACGTCGGCCGCCCCTTCCGCCCTCTACTCCCCGTTCCTTCCTCCCTTCTCATCATCTTCTTCCTCCTCCTGCTGCACCGATGAGAGGAAGCTTCCGAATCGTCCACACTGTGAATTCGTATTTCTCTTTCTCACCCTCCTCCTCCTCCTCGTCCTCCTCCTCGTCCTCCTCCTCCTCGTCACCCCCGCAGCCGTTTTGGCTCAAGGCTAAACGTGTGACGGTAAAGTGACATACCAAATCACGATTAGCTTTGGGTGTCTCCGTCGGCAATTGTCAAGCTTTTCGTGCAACCACGTCCAGGCTGTGCGCTGGACCGTGGATTCTCCGTCTGAGCTCTTGTCGGAGCAGTCTTCTACCAGCCAGATGTCCTGGCGCGCCCGCGCCCCATGGTACCAAGGGCGAGGTGCACGCTAATCGCAGACATATGGTCATGGCTATCGTGGTGACGGTGACCGTCGCAGTGGCGCTCGTGCTGGCTCATACTCAGTGTGCTCGGCCTGTAGTCACTGGGATTTCGACAAGTGTGGCAACGCCTGCTGCAGCGTGTGCGGCGGCAGCTACCTCCACCACGGCGACGCCACCGTGCCCAACACCACGCAGTTGGCGAGCGACTTGGCGGAGTTGGCCAAGAAGTATCCCCAGATGGCTGGCTTGCTTGGGCAAGTGGGCCGCAGCTGAGGCCGTCATGCCCCCGCCAGCCCCTTCCAGCGACAACGACTTGGAGAAGCAGGTCGAGGCCAAGCGCACCGCTTTGGCCAAAGAGGTGGAGGTCCAGTCTCGTGCTGAGAGGATCGCCCAGACTGAGGTTCAGTCCGGGCATGCCGCTGTCGTTCGTCATCGCGAAGCTCTGGCCCAGGCCGAGGCCAAGCACGCGCAGGCGGTGCAGCAGTTACATGAGAAGCAGACGTCTCTTCGTGCGGCCAATGCAGAGAAGGAGGCGTTCGTTGCTGAAGATTACAGACGTCACATCCGTGAAGTGGAAGATCGAGCACGCGCTGAAGCACAGCGCGCTTGTCAAGCCCAACAAGATGCTTCAGCAGTTGCTGCTGCTGGAGTTCAAGGTCATGCTGCTGCCCCACACGGTGATCCCGCTGGCGTACCTGCTCGCGCTACTCCTGCTGGTGGTGCTGGCGTTCCTCGCGCTGCGCCTGCTCCAGCGGCAGGGCCTACTGCAGGTGGACACGCTGGTGGTGGCCACGGTGGCGGTGGTACAGGCGCTGCGCCCCCGCCCAACTTCGGAGGGCTCAGTGATGATGCGCTCCAGGCGTGGTGCAGTTCCAACAATCAGAGGTACGAGTTCTGGAATGAGACGCGGCGCGTGGAGAGGACCATCCAGTTTAATGGACCTGACTCTGACATGGCGAGCGAGTGGGGATATACTTACATCGCAGAGCTGGAAGGCCTCGAGAAGCGTTGATTGGAGTCAGCCCTTTCCGAGTCAGATCGAGATCGAATGGAAGCATTATTTGTACGCAAGGCCTCAGAGAAGGCACATAAGCGATTCAGTATTCGTGAAGACGCCGTAGTCAGCTTTGGACGAATGCTGGGACAGATGGCACCACGTGCTGGAGTTCCTGGAGCACACGTACTCCCTGCTGATGGGGTGCTGAAGCACACGCGTTGTTGTTGAATCCCCCTTCATCGTAAGACATTGCCTATTTCAGCTGAGCTGAAATGACTCCCGGGGCTCGCACCTTGTGGTTCACAAAGGGAATGAAGTATCGAGTCTCAGACTGTGTTGCTGGCCCCCAGTTCACAACAACAGCGGTTCCTGTCTGATTCTTCTTCAAAAGTTCTTGTAAATCGCGCTCCCGCGCTGGAGCCCCGCACAATTCATTCAGGACTCGCGCCGTCGTATTTGACTTCGCCGCGATGTATCTAAACGCCGCGCCCTCGACACTTAGGAACCACGCTGTCGTTCTGGACCGTATGAAGTTTTACTTGAGAATCGCGCTATCGAGCGAGACGTATTCGCGATTCACGCAGACCACTTCAGCGACCCGCCCGCCCGACCCGCCCGTCAGGGTCAGCCCGCCCGACCCGCCCGTCTGGTTCTGCCGCTTGTTTTCCTGCTCCTAACTCCTAACTCCCCTCCTAATCTCTCTCGTGCTCCATCCTTCTCCATTCCCCCTGTCCCTTCCTTCCCCCCCTCTGCGCCAACTGCGCATGATTGGTGAGAAAGAGGGGGATGCGATCAAAGACGAAGAGGGTGGGTAACGAGGTTTGGTATATACCCATTGAGTGACACGCGAGCAGATTAGAGCGATCAGTCTTCAACTGGTTGTTGCTCTCGCCGTCCCACACGCGACCCACCCTGCAACCCATCGCGACCCACTTTGCGACCCACCCGCGACCCACCCCACGACCCACCCCGCGACCCACCCGCGACCCACCCGCGACACCCCCCGCGACACATTCGCGACTTACCCGCGACCGTCCCCGCGACCAACGTCGCGACCCACCCCGCGACCCACCCGCGTCCCACCCCGCGACCCCACCACCCACCGGCGACCATGCCGCGACACACGTCGCGATCCCCACCCCGCGCTGAGTTCGACCGAAAAGCAATTTCGGCGCCTGCGGCGGGCGGTTTTTGCGGTAGCTGTGCGGAACACCACTGCACACCCAGTCCGCGAGCCATCCCACGCTGCTTTTGAACAAAAAGTTGGCGCCCGCGGCGGGCTGGTCTTACATTCGTTCTGCGTAGCACCTTTGCGCTCCCATTCCGCGATCCCCCGCGACCCACCACACGATGCGGCGGGCTTCGGCGGGCAGCTTTTGCATGAGTTCTGGAAAACCCACTCCGTGCCCCACCCCTACGCTGACTTTGAACAAAAGTGTATCGGCGCCTACGGCGGGCTGCTTTAACACTAGTTCTGTAGAGCGTCACTGCGTCCCCCCGCGTATCACGGAAGATCCACGTGGCGTTTCGTAAACTCGGCGCTTGTGGCTGGCTGTTTCGCGTCTTGTCCCACATGTGGCCTGCCGGGCGCCGACGGGAGGGCCGCGGGGCGAGGGCGCCCTGGCCCCGGGCGCGGCAGGGGCGCTGCGCGCTCTGCTGGCCAGCAGCGTGGTCACTGAGCCGTCGTCGGCGAGGCAGGGCAAGTTTGAAGTCGGGCCTGTCCCCCTACAGGAGGATTCTCGACGAAAAATATAAACTACGCAGAACATAGTCAAAAAATAATCCAAACATAGTCGGGGATTATTTTTTGAGTATTGTCTGGCCTTTTTGGGGGTGCATTTTCGGGGTATTTTTTTTATTTTTCGTTGAAAATCCCTCTGTAGGGGGACAGGCCCGACATAAGGCAAGTTGGAGCGACGTCCCCGCTGCGGGGCCGCGTGCGGAGGACCGACGGCGCGCCGCTCCTGGGAGTGCCCGCGGGGGGGGGGCGGCAGCGCGGCGCGGCGCGGCGCCCGCCGCGGTCGGGGGCCTCGGGGCGGCTGCCCTGCGGCCGCCCGCCTGCCGAGGGGGGGGGGGGGGCGCGGACACGGGCGTGCTTCCTGCGCTGGACGCCCGCTTGGCCGCGCCAGCGCCAGCGTCTCCTCCTCCTCCTCCTCCTCCTCCTCCTCCTCCTCCTCCTCCTCCTCCTCCTTCTCCTCCGCGCAGGCGCTCCCCGCGCTCCTCCCGCCAGCGGAGGACGCGGCGCGGTGCCGGGCCTGGCAGGACAGACGGCGCGTCCGAGCACCCGGCGGGCCCGCTGCTGGCCCGCGCTGGGTGTGGCTCCCGTCTCGAGGGTGCCGCGGGCGCGCGGTCCGACCGCCGCGTCAGAGTCGACAGGGCGCAGGCCGCGCAACGCGCCGAGCTCACAGCAGTCGTGCAGGCGCTGCACGCAGCCCAGCAGCCCAGCAGCCGTACCCAGGTCATCGCAGAGTCGCAGTACATCTTGGGCGATGTCTCGGCGCTCCGCTACGGCGCCTCACCGCCAGAGTGGGCGCTTTCTGATCTGTAGGAGCTCATCGCGCCCTGCTGCCGCTGCGGGATCCTGCCAGCGCGGTGGATCAATGGCCATCTCGACGAGGACGGCGCGTCTGCGCGCGGGGTGTCCGCCGAAGACCAGTTGGGCAACGCCGCCGCAGACTGGCTGGCGGCGGCGGCGGCTTCCGCGCGGCTGCCGCCAGCGGACCTCGTGCAAGCCCGCGGGGTCACGCTTCGCGCCCTCCGAGCACTGCGGGTGATGCTGGCTGCGGCACCATGCGGCTTCCAACGCCAGCCACGGCAGCTCTGGCCAAGTGCCGTCGCGCTTCAGGCGCCGGTGGCCGCCGCGCCCCGCGTGGACGGCGGCGCGGCCGTGGCGGCAGCAGCCGCCAAGCGGGCGTTGCCATCGGCGCCGCGCCCGAGTCCCGCCGCCGCCGCCCGTGCGCTTTACGCCTTGCGAGCGAACGTCGCCTCGCAGGGGCCAGACTGTGTGGCGTACGTGCGCTCCGCGGGCACGTGATGCGTGCAAGCGGCTGCGATGCGTGCCGCGCGCCCGGCCTTTCCCCTCCCCGCCCCCTGCCCCCCTCTTTCCCCCCGCCTCCTTCGCGCGAGAAGAGCGGGTGCGCGCGGAGCGCTCGAGGGCCACAGCGCGCTCCGAGCCGTGCTCCCAGAGGGGCCCCACCCATGGAGCGCTGCCGATCAGGAGCAGGGCTGCGGAATGCCGTGGGGATCCTCGACTGCGGGCCCTTCGGTGAAGCCTTTCGAAGCTTTTCGGGCGCTTCCTGGGGCCGGAGAAGAGAAGTCTAGATGAGCAGAAACGTCAGGAGGTCAGCCAGGATCTCTTGCATCGGGGCTGCACCCATGATCTCTCGGCCTGGCAAGAGCCGAGATTCAGCTCGTCTGCAGCTGCGCCAAGTGAGCGACGCAAAACAGGGGGCCTTCTGTGCCGACATTGGCGCGCAAGCTGCCCGCGTAAGCACCCTCGTCTCCACTCTGGCGTGCCGCGCCAGCGGTCCGCGTCCGCCACCGCGCAGGATCGCTGCGCCATCTCGCGCAGGGCCAGTCTTCGAGGTCGTTGCCCGCTGCTCCGCGCGGCCGCCCCGGCGCAGGTGACCCGACCGGCCTGACTGACCTTGCCTTGCCCTGCCTTGCTGTGTGTACCAGCCTCGAACGTATCCCTATCCCTAAGATTGACACGCCAAAAGGCGATGACAATCTTAGGGATGCGCCCTCAACAAAATAAGGGAATCCCTAAGATTGGCATCGTGGTGAGGAGGTCCCCAGCATGGGGATAGGGCTATGCTCCAGGCTGGTAACGTGTGCCCGGGCGGCCGGGGCCGGCCTCCCGCCCCGTAGCCGGCCGGGGAGAGCTGAGCTGCGCCCGCCACGGCCTCTCTGCGCACCCCGTGGGGCGAATAGCCGCACGGGGCACGCCGGGGCTCGAGCGAAGCTGCGTGTTTTGTGGGGCGACTTCGTGGGCTGTTTTTTTGTTTGTCTGACTTCGTTCCCTTGGCATCGCTCGGACGTGTGCATTTCTTCTCGGAGAGAACCATCGGGGACCATCCTGGACCATCGAGCAAAAAAACACACACACACACACACGAAACCGAAGAATGCACGGGAAATGGACGTTCGAGCGACGGCAAGTTCCGCGGCAGCGGCAGAACGAAGACGGAGCGGAGGGAAACGAAACAGAACGAACACGAAGCACACGCTCTTCAGCTTGAGCCCTGGGGCACGCTGCGTGAGGGCGGGTGTGCCTCACTGCCCGGTTGCAGTGGGGGTGGGGTTCCGTAGCAGGTCATGGGAGCCGCGTCTGGTAATCGAGGAGGAGGCGCAGATTTAGCCTCGATTCGCGTTGCACTGGCGCCGGTGGGCATGATCAGCGTCGGTGCGAGTCGATTCGCAAGGGCCAGCACAAGACGGTATGGGAGGCTCCCGCGAGAGGCCACCGCAGGGGAGCATGAGGGCCACGAGCGGGGAACACGTCCGCATCCGCGCCGTCGCGGTCTGGATTCAGGGGCGCGATCCGCGGTCGCACGGGCGCGTTCCACCGCGGGACAGCCGCGAACAAAACGCTCCGCATCTTCGGGGTCGCGGCCTTGGGGCCCCGCCCGCGAGGCCGTGGATGTGCTTTTCCGCCCACGACGGTTGCCCGATGGCAGGCAGGGGGGGAGCAGGAGTGGCATGGAGCGGGGAGCAGGGAGGAGGGACGGACGGAGGGCGGGTGTTCAATGAGGGGGGAGACGGGGGGGGGGATGGCGGAGGGAGGGTCGGAGGAGGGTGATGAGGGAAAAGGGAAGAAGGACCATGCGTCGGAGGTGGATAGACCTCCTACCCTGACACGTCGACTAAGGAATTGGCCGTTCTCGCTTCGCGAGAGGGCGTCGCGGCCGTCATTTTTGCGGGTCCAGGTCCGTCGGTTTCGGTCCCAGGCCGTTCTCACTTGGGGGAGGTTTAGTAAAGGGAGGTTTGTCCACCGCCGAAGGAAGAGGGATGGGACGCCGGAGAGGTGCAGGAGGCTCAGGGGAAGAAGGGAGCGCCGGGAATAAGGGAGGGGACGTGAAGGGAAGAGGTGGGGGGTGAAGAGGATGGCGATGAGTATCATGATGACGACGATGCGGAGGGGAGGGGGAGGAACAGGAGGTGGTGAAGAGGGCAGGAAATGGAAGGGAGACGGAGGAGAGCGATAGGGATTGATGAGGATCAGGAGCGGGAGGGAGGAATGCGAGTGGGAAGGAGGAGCCCTGGTCTCGGATGGAAGGGAGTGTATGACACGTACTTTGAGCCCGTGCTGAAACGCCGACCGGATACTTGGCGTGCAGACCATGCGAGCGAGAGGGAATGTGGAGTGCATTTTGGAGGATCGTGGTGTGGGAGGCTCGCGATCGTGACTTGGATGGTCCACAGCAGGCGTATGATCGTGACTGGATCGTCGTGGCGAAAGGTGTGTGTGTGTGTAAGAGGGAAGATGGACTGTTTGAATGGTAGCGCATGCGGTGGGGCTCTTGCCAGCTCTCTGATAATTTGCAGTGCGAATGAAGCATGGACCGTGGCTCATGAAGCTGTCTGCATGCTCTGATATCTGCTTGAGGCAACCCATGAGGCGCGTGTGCAAGTAAACTGGCTTTCAATTGGCGTGGAGCCCCTATGTACAGATGCGTCTCCCGAAACATGCCTCGGTGCTCTGTAGTTCTCCGTTGTGCGCCCATCCCCTGCTCCACTGACTTAGTTTGACGTTTCCCTATACTCCTTACATCCATCCACGTATATCCTCCGCATCTGGTCTCTTCCTCTCTCTCTCTCTCTACATCTGTCCCAGTCTTTATGGCTTCGTCTCTCTCTCTCTCTGTCTCTCTCTCTCTCTCTCATGTTCATTTCTACCCCTTCCCATGCTCATTCGTACTAATACACCGTGGATAGCGGGGAGGGAAGGAATGCCTCTTTGTAGATGCTCATGCGACTGTGTTCAGTTTTCTCTTTATGCGTACCAGGGTGAGGGGGGCGAACGGTCATTCGTTGTCCCTGGGCGCGTGGCTGAAGTGAGAATCCGTGGTGAGGATTCTGCTTGTTGCGTTGCTTTTATTATTGTTGGTGGTGTTGCTGATGTTGCTGTTGTTGCTGTTGTTGTTGTTGGTGTTTGTTTGTTTGTCTGTCTGTCTGTTTGTTTGTGTGTTTGTTTGTTTGTGTGTTGTTGTTGGTGTTGGTGGTGGTGGTGTTGTTGTTGTCATTGTTGTTGCTGCTGCTGCTGTTGTTGGTGGTGTTGGTGTTCTTGTTGTTGGTGTTGGTGTTGTTGTTGTTGTTGTTGTTGTTGTTGTCGGTGTTGTTGTTGTTGTCGTCGTCGTCGTCGTCGTTGTTGTTGTTGTTGTTGTTGTTGTAATTGTTGTTGTTGTTGTTGTTGTTGTTGTTGTTGTTGTCGTCCCCCCGCGACCCACCCGCGACCCACTCCGCGACACACCCCGCGACACACCCCGCGACACACCCCGCGACACACCCCGTGACCCACCCCGTGACCCACCCTCGACCCAACCCGCGACCCACCCCGCGACCCACCCCGCGACCCACCCGCGACCCACCCGCGACACACCCGCGACCCACCCGCGACCCACCCAGCGACCCACCCCGCGATCCACCCCGCGACCCTCCCGCGACCCACCCGCGACCCACCCGCGACCCACCCCGCGATCCAACCCGCGACCCACCCCGCGACCCTCCCTCGACCGATCCACATTGGTTTGAAGAGAAAATCTGCGCCTGCGGCGGGCTCGTTGTATAATGTGTGAAACTTTGACGCCTGCGGCGGGCTTCCCCAGTGTCTCGCAGACTGCCGACGTACCCACCGCCCCCTCACTCTTATCCGCATCTGCGGGGTGCTGCGTATATACACGCACATACAATCGCCCTCGCAGTTGCGTATGAGAGAAATTGGGCGGCGGACTGCGAGGCTCTAGAGGAGCCCACCGCAGGCGCCGATATTCTACACATTACGTTACGAGCCCGCCGCAGGCGCCGAATTCTCTTCAAAGCAATGTGGGTCGGTCGCGGGTGGGTCGCGGGTGGGTCGCAGGGTGGGTCGCGGTGTGGGTCGCGGGTGTGTCGCTGGGTGGGTTGCGGGGCGGGTCGCGGTCGAAGACGACGACAACACCAAGCAGAATCCGCGCCGCGGAATCCCACTTCAGTCACGCACCAAGGGACGGTGTAAGACTGGCCGTCCCCTCGCTCTGATATGTGTATGTATGTATTTTGGGTCATGCCTTGGGATGGGGGGAGCGTACTGCTGCTATTCGTTGGTATGGGGCCCCCGCGGCTTCCTCGTGGGGGCTCCGAGGTATCGCGGACGATCGAACGCTCCCCAGATCAGCGCAAGACGGCCCTGCGGGCTTGCGGCACGCTCGGAAACAGCCCCAGAGTACCTCAAGATGGCTCGAACGCTCCGAGAAGGCCCCGACAGGACCACCAAGAGGGAGCCAGGAGGCACAACTCACTGATTTTCCTAAGGTCGTCTCTCTCTCTCTCTCTCTCTCCCTCTCTTTCTGATTTCAGCGTTATGTTTTTTTTCACGGTTTCAGACCGCCCACGACGGCCCCAGAGCCAGGCCAGAGGCTTCTCGCGTCCTGGGGGACGAATTGGCCAGGTTCACCAGGGGAGCTTGCGCACGTGCAGGACCTTCAGGACTCTCTCGTACGGCTCCACATGTGCCTTTGTGCCCCACCTGAGTCTCTCTCTGCCCCTCCCTCTCTCCGTGTTGTTGCCTCCGTGTGTGCCGCATTCCCGAATTAGCCGCATTCCTGGGATGCCGGGGATGGCTGACTCGGTCTGGGGAGGTCCTGATGAAACATTTGTGTTGTTGCGTCTCTGCTTCAACGCACTCGCCTCTCTCACGATTCTCTCCTGAAACGTCCTCGCATCCCCTTCCCATGATCGTTCCCGCATCCCTCCAATCCTTCACTCTGTCCCGTCCGGCCGTGGCCACGAGAACGCCGCGTGAGGCCCAAGGAAGCCTCAGAGCGCCAAGCCTCGATCCTCCTTCCTCCTCCTCCTCCTCCTCCTCCTCCTCCTCCTCCTCCTCCTCCTCCTCCTCCAGTGCTTTCTCCGTAGCCATTTTGGCTCAAGATGCCTAGTTCCACAGTGGAACAAGTGGATACCGCTAGTCCGCGGCCAGTGCCAGGGCTCTTGAGCCCGACAGATTTGTTCAACCCTCCGTGTGCCTCCTGCAGCCCGCAGGTGAGCTTCCTTTGTTCCTCAGCTCGTCCATGGCGCCTCCGCAGCAGCGCAGCGCCTACGTCAAGTGCTACTCCTGCTCGTACGCCTGGAACTACAAGACCAACCAGATGTGCTACTGGTGCAGCAAAGCCTTGGCGCCGTGGACAGATTCCCCGCCTCCAGTTCAAGGTGCCTGGGCGGCCCGCGCCAAGGCCGCAGCCCACGCCGACTCCAACACCACCCAGCAGCCCAGCCCTGACGGTGGATGGGAACCGTGGGCGTCATGGCCCAAGTCCCGCCGCCGCCGCGGCAACGGCAATGGCAGTGGCAAGAACCAAGAGGACGACTGGTGGGCCAACAAGAACGACACACCCAAGGCGCGCTCCGCAGAGGATATCCTTGCGGAGCTCCAGGCGATCGCCCCCCACATCGACAAGGCAGCCATCGACGGTATCAAGTCGCAGATTCCGCCGCCCCAGCCGCAGAAGCCAGCCGACCTCAACGACATCTACAGCCGCGCCCAGGCTACGGAGCGCCGCTGCAAGAACAACCTGGAGAGGCTACTCGAGAGCGAGCAAAAGGCGCTCAGCTGGTACACTGAGCGCAAGGCGGCGTCGGAGGAGGCCGCCTACAAGTTGGCAGAAGCCCAGGCCGAGGCCCAAGCCGCTCTCGATGCACTCCAAGTCGCTCGCAAGGGCGGCACGGCTACTCCCAAGGCCTCGCAGCAGAACCCAACGTTCAACCTCACCAGCCTCCTCGAGGACGGTGACATATCCATCGAAGCGGGTTCGGCGTTCGATCTCCAAGGCCTTGACATCGACGACAGCGACCGCCAGGCATGGGAATCCCTCCAGCAGCGCTTCGCCACGGAGCTCAAGGCCAAGGTCACCGAGCTCTTCGGCAACACCGCCAGCCGCATCAGCCAGCTCCGCGCAGAGGCCAGCACCATGCGCACGCGCTTCGCCTCCAAGCGGCAGCGGTCCGACGAGGACGGTCACGCCCGAGAGGGAGGTGGACCACCGCCCGCCGCATCGGCGGCAGCAGGCGAACCCCCAGCGGCAGCCGCTGCGGACGCTGATGGCTCTGCGGCCTCTTCGCCAGCGGCGCCAAGCGAGGAGCCTCCCGCACCTGCTGCTGGCGCTACTTCTGACGGCAGCTCCGCCGCACAGCCTGTACCAGCGATCAACAAGGACCCCGACCTCGAGGACAAGGCGCAGAAGATGCTCAGCCAGATGCGCAAGCCCACCGCGACCGCCGTGGCTGGAGCCCAGCAGCCTCTTTAGCCGACTACTACCCGACCCTGGATGGATTGGTGAGACGGGACGCCTACCGTCAGAGACCAAGAGCTACGACAACCCACCGATCATCAACACAGTGGACGCAGTCCTCGACCCGTTCGACGAGCTGGCCGATTTGGACGCCCACATCGTTCTCGCAGCCACAGCGCAGTACGCTACCGCCCCGCCCGAGACGCTGTCCTCGGTTGGGGGCGATGAGGCGGCGCAGGCCGTCGACACAGTCACATGGGACCCAGGGCAGCCGCAGCGTGCTGCGCGAGCCGACCCTGATGCCGCTCCGCCCGAGACGCTGTCCTCGGTAGGGAGCGATGAGACGGCCCAAGCCGTCGACAGGCACATGGTACAGGTTCCAGGGGAGCCGTTGCCAACGGCACACCCTGATGCCGCCCCGCCCAAGACGCAGTCCTTGGTAGGGGGCGATGAGATGGCGAAAGATATCGACTTGACCGCTGCGAGAGGCCCTTGGAAGCCCAGCAGCCCGAGACCCGACCCCAGACCCACCTACCAAGACGAAGGCCCTACGAATCCCACGCCGTCAGATCACTCCCTGTTCTTCTCCAACATTACTCAGTGGGGGCCACAGTCGGAGAAGTGGCTGGCAGGGCCAGGCAAGCAATATCAGATGGTGGCATTGGTTGAAACACACATCTCGCATGGTAAAGCCCCTTTCATATACGACAAGCTAGCAGCGGATGGATGGAGGATATCATCGACGACAGCCACGCCGACCAGCAGATCCGACGGAGGCAACACGGGTGGCGAGATTATCCTCTCCAGGTACCATGTCCAGGCCACAACCTTCAACCACCTCCGCGACCTCGCCATCTCCCAGCGCAGGCCCGACCCGTTCCGCGGCTTCACGCCCATGGTATGGCACAGACGCTCGGGCAACCTGGTTGTTATTGCAGCGTATCTGGAACCCCACAGGCAGATCGAGGGTGCAGTGCACGATAAGTTACTCTCGCTGGGAGCCTTCGTTACTATGCTCAC